TTCAGCAGAGCTTGATCATCCCCTGACATGGACTTGAGACGCTCTTCTCTAGTGAGTTAGAGGGTTTTTTAACCCACAGAGAAGTTTGATTCCCAGAGGATAAAACTTTCTGATAGGATATTCACACTCACCTGAGAAGAGGTGAAAGGGAGCCAGTTTTGTAACAAAGTCTTCATTCTGCCCCAGTGACACTTGCTGTCTCTTGAACATTTGACGCACACTCCCACTGCAGGCACTCGGCAATCACTGTTTCTTTGCTTGGAAAAAATGCTCTTCCCCGAAGGACTTGTTTCTCCTTATTCTGGTCTTGCCTCGAATGTTCAAATGTTATTTTCTCAGTGAGACCTTGCTTTATCCTATTTAAAATTGCAATTCCCCCTCTCCCACAGTACGTTCTATCCCTTCCCTGTTTTTCTTGTTTTTTTTTTTTTTTTTTTTTTTTCCGTATACCACTTGACATATTGTATATTTTACTTATTTATTGCTTCTCTCTTTCCACTAAAATGTAAGGTCCATGAGGGAAGGGATTTTTATTTTTTATTTATTTTTTATTTTTTTAAAGACCAGTGTATTTCCAGCATAGAATGGCCCCTGGAACACTATAACCACCCGGTGCATATGTTTTCCTCATCTCTTCAGCTGGCCATCTAAAAGGCACTAGCAACTACAGAATGAGAGCAGTTATTTTACATCAGTTTCACTTTTACATCTGGATTCAGATAATTTGAGAAGAAAATGTAGAAAAAGAAAAAACAAGTCCTCAAAAGTTGGAGCCACACAGTGGTTGGCAAACTCATTAATCAACAGAGCCAAATATCAACAGTACAATGATTGAAATTTCTTTTGAGAGCCAAATTTTTTAAACTTAAACTTCTGACGCCACTTCTTCAAAATAGACTCGCCCAGGCCGTGGTATTTTGTGGAAGAGCCACACTCAAGGGGCCAAAGAGCCGCATGTGACTCAAGAGTGGCGGTTTGCCGACCACGGACCTAGGAGCCCTCCATTAACCTAAAGGGGATTAGCCAGTTATCTGAGTATTCAAACCACTGCTTTCACAGGTTGTAAAAGATCTCACTTTAACAAGTTTTATTTGTGACAAGTTTCTTAAAGTATTCTTTTAATTCCATTTAGTACATACAATTTTTAATATTTTCCTACATTAGTAGGTTGTAAGCTAAGAGAAGGTAGCGTTAGCCTGATGATGTCTGCTCATTTAAGTATTCTGTCTCACCTTGAGTTCTGATATCAACAGGAAGAAATTGAATTTGGTACTTGGGGTGATGGTGAAAAGATTTTTTTCCTAACACACTGTCCAGGGAACTGGAATTTATCATCATTACACAATGATCATTTTAAAATAAAGCTTTTTATGGAAAGACATTTAGAATAATTTTATTAAAGCTCTAGCTGGTGTTGCTGATCAATGGTTGGAAGTGTCAGCTTGTACACTGAAGGGTTATAGGTTTGATCCCTGGGTCAAGGGTATGTATCTGGGCTGCAGGTTCAATCCCCAGCCCCAGTTGGGGCACATGTGGGAGGCAACCAATCTGTGTGTCTCTCTTGCATCAATCTCTCTCTCTCTCTTTCTCTCATTCTCACCCTCCTTTCCTTCTCCCTTCCACTCTTTCTAAAAATCAATGAAAATAAAAATTCTCAGGTGAGGATTAACAACAAAAATAATAATTTCATTAGAAATGAAGATACACTTAGAGATCTGAGGACATGAAACACCAAAAGCCTTGTTTCATACTTTCCAAAAAAAAAAAAAAAGTAAAGTTTTAAAAAGGGCAAAAGAAACTCAACAGTTAACTATTAAAATTATATGGGCAACATCCCATACCATATTTCAGAAAACAATGAAAATGAAGATTCACCAAACAAGCCCTATATATTGTTCATCTATGTACTTGTCATCACTTTAAAAAATCTATAGCCAGTCAATGTGGATGAGAACTGACCACTGATTGTCCAAGTTATAGTCACACACACACACACACACACACACACACACACCTGAGATCCCTAGGAAAACTACATTTCACTTCAAGATCTAGGACATACACACATACTCAAAGTAAAAGTTTCACAAAAACATAATTTCCATACCCTTTTGTAATGTGTGCTATTTCTTATTCTATATACTTTAATTTTAAAACACCCCAGCTACTTGTGACTATAAACTTTTCATAACTGAACAATGGATCATGACCTGTATTTCAAGAAAACATTTTTCTACCTGGCTATTAGAATGTTCTTTCTAAAATACCATCATTATTTTTCTTTAAATTCTTCAATGTCTTCCCAGTACTATAAGGATAAAGACTTTTATGATCCTCCATTATCCAGCTCTTTTATCATTGTAGCTTCATCTGTTTCTGCTCAAACTGGTTCGTTTTCATTTTGCAATCCAACCTTACCTATTTAGTTTCTGGACTCAGAATGTATCTAGTGTTAGAACACTTCCCCACATTGTCTTGTAGCGAATGCCTGCTCATTCTAACTTCTCAGCTTAGACTTCACTCCCCTCTGGATGCTTTCCCTGGATGCTGGGCCTGGGTTAGGTGTTCCTCCTCTGTGCACACTGGACTTCCTCAATGCAATATTTATCACCCTGTATTTCAACTATGACAGTGCTACTTACGTACTATTTATGGGTTTTGTCCCCATAGTATACCTAACAGGCCTTCAGTAAATATTTATTAATAAATGAAACAATTTAGTGGGATTCCCATGTTGTTGGGTATTTGTTTTATTTCTATTTATTTATTTACTTACTTACTTATTTTTAATATATTTTATTGATTTTTTTACGGAGAGGAAAAGGGATAGAGAGTTAGAAACATCGATGAGAGAGAATCATCGATCAGCTGCCTCTTGCACACCCCCTACTGGGGATGTGCCCACAACCAAGGTACATGCCCTTGACCGGAATCGAACCTGGGACCTTTCAGTCCGCAGGCTGATGCTCTATCCACTGAGCCAAACTGGTTTCGGCTTTATTTTAATCCTCACCTGAACACTGATCTTAGAGAGAGAGAGAGGAACTGGGGAGGGGGAGTGGAGAGAGAAACATCATTATGAGGGAGAAACATTGACTGGCTACCTCCATATGCACTCTAGCTGGAGATTAAATTGCAACCTAGGTATGTGCCCTAACCTGGAATGGAACCCACATTGTAATTTTATTTTTATTTTTTTCTTTGTATACAGGACGATGCTCCAATCAAGTGAGCATTGGTGTCTAGTTCTTTCACACCATGGTAACATGCTATAAAATTTTAAAGAAGGCACAAGTCTGGAACATTAAACAGTTTCTAGACTTTAGCTAATGTGAAGGTTTCTAGAATTTAGTGATGTGTGAAGTCGCATGGGACGCTGTGTTCAAGGTTCTCTAGATCTCTCATACTGAGACATAACCTAGCATCTCTAAGTCTTAATTTCCTCATCTGAATTCCAATACCCATTAACATTTACTCTTGGATATCTCCCAGCATCCCCAATTCATGTCACAGGGATAATAATAGCATGTTATAGAACTATTGTAAGAAGCCAGTGAGTTAAATAATACTTTAAAGATTATTTTTTATCTACTATTACTACATACTTATGTCAAGTTTTGCCAACATGCTAAAGTTACATTAGTTAAGGAGAGCAAGAAGAATGAAGAATAGGAAGAGAGAGATATGATAATTCTGTATGAGCAAACCTCATGATATTTTGACTGTTCAGATAGTTGTTTTCTTAGAACTTTAGCATTCCTTTAAAAGAAAACTAAAATCTCATTAATGTAACTAATCTGCAATATCAGTTGTAGAGTGTTTTATGAACTTCTTGGTGGGGGAAGGGGACCTCTATACTCAGGTAAACATCATCAGATTGACATGTGGTGGTTTTGCTATAGTGGGGAGGAATAACAATCCCCACCCCAAATAAAAAGAAGAGCCATTTCTGAGGTCTGTGTCAGCCAGCCCTCCAGTGCTATCTGACTTCTTATGTAGCTACAGGATTATATACATCTGTCTTCATTTATCTCAGTCACGCCTATAAAATGGTGCAGAATTTCTTCCTCTAAATGTTAGCAGGCTACAAAATGCCCAAAGAACAATGGAGCAAACATTTTGGATATAACATCTGATATAAAAATAAAAATTCAAAATACCCACCCACAAATCAGACTGGCACACTGAAAACAAATTACTCAGGAATATATTTCTTATTTTTACCTTACAACCTATTTTGAAGATGGCAGAAATTTATTGAGGAATACAGAATCAGCAAAATAATGTAGATTAATACATCAAAGGTGTAATATAGTTGTGTAAATGTTTCATGAAAGAATATAAGCATTTCATTAATTTTCACTACATTCATTCACTTTGTGTATATATCCTATTATTTGCCAGGCACTTGTGCAGTTGCTAGGAATACAATGGTGAAAAAGACAAAGTCGTACTTCAGGAGGTTTACGTTTCCTGACTGCAAGGGAGAAGATAAAAAGGGCAAGTAATTAAATAAGAATGTCAGGTACTGATATATGTTATAAAGAACATAAAGCAAATTATATAAAAGTACCTTAAGAGGTGGTCATGGAGGGACTTAGAGTATAATTCTGGAGCTATAATGTCCATGTACAAATCCAGGCTCTACCATTCAATAGGTATATGATGCCAGGGCAAGCTACCCATCCTCTCTATGCCTCAGTTTTCTCATCTGCTGAATGGGAATAACAATAATATTTACCTCATGGGTTTGTTGCATTAAGTAATGTGTGTAGAACAGTGCCTGGCACATAGTGCTATGTGTTTTCAAATAGAAATTGTTTTCCTCTTTGAGTAACTCACATTGAATCAAGACCTTAAGATTAGGAAGTTCAAACTAATATGGACAAATTAAAGTACCTCTATACCAAATAAAGAAGAATAAGATGCAGTTCTCTCCTTTATATTTCCATGCTATACAGTAATGAAAATATATGAAGATTAAAACATAGTAGCACCTTTCATTGCCTGTCTTCACATTCATCAGAGCTTTCTTCACTTGGCTCCTCACTGCTTTCTCCTTCACTCTCCCCGCTACTGTCTTCACCATCTTTCTCATCTTCCTCATGATTTTGAGCTTCCTCTGCCACAGAAAGAGAATTGCTTAATATGTTTCTTAACATTTTCACTCTTTTAAAAAGTTGAAATTTTCCTTGCTTCTCCCTCCACTAAGAAATATATATTTTTGGGACATGAGAACTGAGCTGAACTTTGTTAACTATATAAAGGGTTATAGTAGTAGTACAAATAAGACTATATTCTTACCGGATGTTTGTGGATTGAAAGTAAATTTACAATATTTATAGATCTATAAAATATTTTTTATTATGAATGTAATTCTTAAACAGAAAAGGATAATACAGAGGGTACTAGCTTTCTTTGGAATTGTGGGATAGTCCCTTTAATACAAGGGGCCATTGGCATGCTCTATTCCCTCTGAAGACTGTCATGCAAATACCTATGCCCAGGAAGCCCACTTTGTTTGGGTAGTCCCACCCCACAGAGAAAAGGAAGTCATCTTGACCATCCACAAAGGACAAGGTGGTTTCATTTAACCATCCAAGATGACCATTCAGCCTTTTCTTAACCACATCCTGAGGATGTACTTTGCCAGTCTCCTGGGAGAATGGTTTTTAAATAGCAACTGCTCATAGTTCTGTGAGAAAGAATGAATTTTAATTTTTAAGTTTACCCATCAGCAACATTTCTTCAATAAGTGTTAAGAACTCCTTGGCCTCAGGATTTTCTGGTTCATAGATTAGGACTGAAAATAGACAACAGAGTGTGTGTTACTAATGGTCAAAGTGTTTCAGCAAACAGGCTCCTCAGAATGAGATTGAAACTGTCAATCAGAGTAAGGAAAAACGCACAAAAGCGATAAACACCAACAATTACACCATGGGTGTATTTAAGTGCAAATAGAGAATGATATAAAGTAGTTTTTAATAGCAGAAGAGAGGATAAGTTAACTAAAGTACAAAAGAAAATATTCAAACTGAAGAAGATAAATATAAAGAAATGGAAAAACAAAACAAAGCTGAGTATAAGATACATGTGGGACACTATGAAAACAAAGTCTAATTTATGTGTAATTGAAGATCCAGGAAGAAAAGAAAGAAAGAGAATAGGTTAGAAGTGATATTTTAAAAGATGATGGCTGAGAATTTTTCAAAGGTAATGAAAATATCAACCCTCAGAACTAAGAAACTCAGGAAACCTGTCAGGCCTCCCTTTGAATAAAGACAAAGAAAAACCGCAACTATCAAGTCAAACCACTAAAAACCAAAGATAGAAAAAAAAAAAAAAAGGGGGATAATATTCTTCTACTAAAAAATGTCTAATGGTTTCCCACTCAGAGAAAAAGTGAAGACCCTAAGTTGTGAAAAGATGCACAAACTTAACCCATGACCTCTGTGACCTCACCTATCACACTTCCTTTGCGTATTTTCTCCAGTTATATGTTCCTGGTTGTTGTCAGGCACACTTGCCTCTCAGCACATTTGCTATTAGTCCTGCCTGGAACTCACTATTTTCCAGATTCCCACATGACTAGTTCCTCAACTTCAAGTCTTCCCATGAGGTCTTTGGGACCATTTTATTTGAAACTGGGTTACCTCCTCCCAGGACTTTGTATTCCTTCTTTCCTATTTTCTTCTCTCTCTCTCTTTTTTTTAAAATATATTTTTATTGATTTCAGAGAGGAAGAAAGAGGGGGGGAGAGAGAGAAACATTCATGATGAGAGAGAATCATGGATGAGCTGCCTCCTGCAAGTCTCCCACTGGGGATCGAGCCCACAATCCAGGCATGTGCCCCTGACCGGAACTGAACCTCCGACCTTTCAGTTTGCAGGCCGATGCTCTAGTGACTGAGCCAAACCAGCTAGTACTGTACTTTATTTTCCTAGATAGAACTATTTTTTATGACACACTCTTTAAATGAATTTTATCATCTGCCTGATACTAGATATAAATGTGGGATCATTATATGTTTTGTTGACAGCTGTATTTCCAGTGCTGTCATATGTAGGCCTCAAATATTGGTGGGATAATTGCATGTTAAATAAGGTTTGATGCACAACCTGACAGCAATTACCTATTATCATAAAGGTAAGGATTTTGACTTAGTCTTTTTTACTAGATCTCATGCCAATCAACCTAATTTACTGTTAAGGAATCATTGAGACACTACCAGGGAAATTCACTGGACTTAGGATAATCAAACCATCTTATATATTATGGAATGTATTTAGAAACAAAGAAAAGATTAGAAAACAAAGTATTTTGTACTTACTCATCTGACATAATTTTTTAGCCAAATGGTAGTCTTGGCTCATTTCTGCTCTCAGAAACTGGAAAACATAAAGAAATTCTTTAGATAAGTAATTTCTGAGAGAATTTAAGTGTCAATTGTAAACACCTTAGAAAATATTCTATTAATGATTAACTATTTTGCTTTTAATATTTACACATGTTTTTCCAGGAGTGAGTCTGTAATCAGGTAATCAATTAAGAATATTTAAGGACTTCTCATGGCAAGGCAATATATGTAGAATGATACCTCTACTTTTCTGCAGCCACACTATATATACACTACTGAATAATTTGAGGATACATAGGCTGATTCAACTGGAGAAGATAGTGAAGACATTAATTACTTGAATATTCTTTTGGTTCAGATACAGCTTTTATTTGTGAACTTAGTCCATAATTACATGATCATACTTAGTAAAAAAAAGATTTACAATTATGTATATTCACTGTTTTTTAGTATTGCACTGATACCATTCTGTTTTTAATTGATCCCTGGTGGGGAGTGTACAGGAGGCAGCAGATCAATGATTTTCTATCATTATTGATGTTTCTATCTTTCTCTCCCTCTCCTTTCCTCTCTGAAATCAATAATAATATTTTTAGAAAAAAGATAACTGACCATTTTAAAAACAAAAATAACAATGCATTGTGGAGCTTATACATAGAAATAAAATGTTTTGACAACAAAAGCAAGAATGAGAAGGGGACATGAAAATGTACTATAATAAAGTTTGTACAACATAAATGAAGTTGTGTAATATTAAGTAATGGTAGTCTGTGACACAACAATAAGTGAGGTAAAATTGTTTTGTTCTCTACAGAATTACCAGTACATGTACAATTTTGTCCTGTGATGTTTCAGGTTTCAATGCCTTTGCATATGCTATTTCCTGTGTTAGGAATGCCTTCTCCTCTTGTTTACTTTTCCCTCTTCCTTTAAGTTTCTAAGATGTATGCATGTCTCTTCCTTTTTATCCCATTTCTCCTGTTTCTTTTCTTAATTACTTAATCCTCTGTTCCCAGAGAATTTCATAAACAATTCTACTAGCATATATTTCATTTTATTGTAAATTATATTATATAAATAATATGTGCCTGTTATTTCTCAAAGGTGGGAACTGTCTTTATTTCTACACATTCCCAGTAACTAGCATGGTGCCCATGTTTTATGTACAAAGCATTCCTTTAAACAATCCTTGAAGAGTTTTATACCAAATCTACTCTTATTCCTGCTCCTTTTATCAGAATACTCTCAGTCAGTTCTAGAATCTTCTCTCACCGCTCCCCTGGTGAAAATTGTAAGAGAGATGAGAAGTCAGGTAAGCATCTGTGCGTGGCAAGGATCTTTTTACTATTTTTTAAATCCTCAAGGCTATATACTAGTTATTTTAATATTTTTAAGTTTCTTAAATTATAATGCATAAGTAAAGCTTACTTCTGCCATTAACTCTAATGGGGCACGAATATCCTTTTTTGGGTCACTGTCTTCATTATTTTCATCACTGCTGTCATCTTCACCATCATCTTTTGTTGACTCGGACAACTTATCATTAATAACCTGAAGGCTATTTTCATTATTTTTCTCCTGCTCTGCAATGACTTCATCTTTGCCCACTTCACCTAAAACAACATACATAATTAATCAGTAAATACTAAAAATTCAAAAATTTTAAATGCTCCTAAATGACAGTGTAACAAGTGTGCATGTTGTCTATATGGCTTTCTATTCTGGAGTTGTGTGTGTTTTATTTTTTCTTGACTAAACAACACTGATTTCCATTTTCAAAAAAGGTAATAAAACTGCCAAATGAAAGAGGAAAAAACCCCAAATCTATTAACACTGAGCTGATGTTAATGTTAACTGTTTAGTGCTTAAAATTTTAATAGATAATACTTTTGTTTATAAAGAATTTAATTTCAAGAAAAAATAAATTAAAGAATAAAGTCTCTCTCTCTCTCTCTCTCTCTCTCTCTCTCTCTCTCTCTCTCTCTCTCTCTCTCCACACACACACACACACACACACACACACACACACACACACGCTGAAAGAAACACCTGTGGATATTCTAGATATAACCAGAGGTTACATAACATTAGTAATGATTTTCCTTAATGTTAAGTCACAGTACCTATGACCAAATACAGGTGACTCTACAATTAAAACTAAGCACTACTAAGTGACTACCCATTTAGTGCCTGGCACTATGCTGAGTCCCAGCTTCACAAAAATGAATGGTCCTTGATCTGAGAGAACTTGCAAAAACTCTAACTGGGGAGTCAGAAACATATGGATAATTATAAAAGAGTATGGAACAACAGTGATGAAGATGTGTAGTAGGAAAATGGGAGAACAAAGGAGGGCCACGTCCCTGCCTTGCAAGTGGTCAGGAGCTCTCCAGTCTGAGTGGATCAGTTTTTCCTGGAAGAGGGAACAGCATGAGCCAATACAGAAGCAAGAATGTGTGTGGACTATAATCACTCTGATGCTGCTTAGGGGTCAAGGTTATGGCTGGAAGTCTAGTAGGGGCTAGTTGGATAATGGAGAGTCTTGGAGACCAGAAGCCTTGGGACTATCTTAAGAATGAAGGAGCTATAAATGAAAGATTTTATGTAAGGAAACAAGGATGATCAATTTTGCACTTCTGAGGGAAAACTTGGGAGAGTACGTTAAAAAGTTTATTTGAGGGAAGACAAAAATAAAGAGTAAGGGAAGAGATTAGAGTTACCTCAAAATCCAGATAAGAGCCGAAACCAGTTTGGCTCAGTGGATAGAGCTGCGGAGGTCCCAGGTTCGATTCCGGTCGGGGCATGTGCCTTGGTTGTGGGCATATCCCCGGTGGGGGGCGTGCAGGAGGCAGCTGATCGTTATTTCTCTCTTTTCGATGATTCTAACTCTCTGACCCTTCCCTTCCTCTCTGTAAAAAATCAATATAATGTATATATTTTAAAAATTCAGATAAGAGCATGCTAGGGCACTGGTAAAGTAGGAATGGAGAGGAAGTGAGAGATAAGTATTTAAGAGATAAAATCTTCTTGGTACAAACTATTGAAACACTTTCTAAACTTAAGTAATTCTTATACTATCTTCATCCATTTTGCCTTATATATATCTCACCTATACTAATTACTTAATATTCTCCTTTGAATCTACTTTTTTTTTAACATATATACTTGTTAGATCATAAATATTATCATCCATGAAACTGATGGATTAATAAAAGTAACATATAATAATCCTAATACATCATATACCATTATTCTTCAGAATACTACATAAATTAACTCATTTTCTCTCAACCCAAAGCGGTTTTACTTTTATTTCATGCATAGATGTAATTGAGGGACAGAGATTAAATAACCTGCCCACCTTCACACTGCTAATTAAATGGTAGATCTGGGAGTCAGTTAGGCTCCAGAGTTCATTTTATTATTATTAAAAATATATTTTTATTGATTTCAGAGAGGAAGAGAGAGGGAGAGATAGAAATATCAATGATGAGAGAGAGAATCATTGATTGGCTGCCTCCTGCACGCTCCCTACTGGGGATTGAGCCTGCAACCGGGCATGTACCTTTGACCAGAATCAAACCCAGGACCCTTCAGTCTGCAGGCTTTATCCACTGAGCCAAACTGGCTAGGGATATATTATTAACCACATCTTTTTTTTTTTCCCTCAACACATATAAAAATATGCTACTATTAAATTTTTTTTTTAAAGTTTACTATATGTTTCCTAAATGCATCTCTTTGGGAAACACTATTGAATGAACTTAGAGGACTCCTTTGGCTCTATGGATAGCTCTGTTTCATACTAACTTGTGCTACACCATCCCTTTCTTGTCAGATATTGAGTATCTGGGAAGTCTTATGAGATGCCTTTTAGAGCTACTCTAAATAACGTAGAAAACTTGGGTAGAAAAGAGAAAATAAGGAAATCCAGGAAAGCTTAAGAGAAAATAATGTTAAGAGAACATAAACCAAAAAAAGTCTTTCCAAGAGTAGGATGGCTTGGCTACCTGATTCTGTGTCCTTTATGGTGTCCATTAGCTCACAGCCACTCTGATCTCCCAGTGTGTATCTAGCCTGCTCATTGACCCATCACACTGATGTCATCAGGGGAAGATCAGAATAAGGAATTCAAGACTGTGTGATGTCACAGGAACTGTCTCACCTCAGTTAATTCACAAACACACACTGAGCTTCATGAGAGAGGTTTCCTGATCTCTAGATCTAAGGTAGTCCTCTCCCAGGTGCCATTTATTAACATTGAAACATCCATCGCCACCTGAATGGGGTTGCTTTTTTGTTTGTATTTGTTTTATATTGTTTATTGATTTTTAATAGTTGGTTGTCTATCTCCCACTAGAATGTAAACTTCATAAGGCAAGAACCTTGCCTATTTGCTAACTACTGTATCCACAGCTTCTAAAAGCAGTGACTGGCACTCAGTAAACCATTGTTGAATGAATGGAACTTGCTAATGCTTTCTTTAGGTATTTTCATTCTAAAATTTAATACTCTATTACTATCATTTCATATATTTTCCCATGGATCCTACAACTGACTGCATATCAGAATCATATGGTACATGAATTTGAAAAAGTATCAATTCCTATGATCCTCCCCAGACCTACAAAGTTGTCAACATCCTAAAGGTCATAGTGAAAAAGGGCTGAATTAAAAGCAACAGTTGGTCTAAAAAAACAAAAACCAAGTGTTATTACCTGTTCTTTCTTTTAAGAAAGAAGATGACCATAGTTTTGACTGTAGATTTGTTTCTGTATCTTTATGTTCAATACTTTTTGAAGATACTCTATTTTCAGTATTCTTTAAATAGACTTTCTTTTCAATATTTTTTGAAGAGACTTCCTTCCTAAATGTTAAAGTAGATAGTCAAAATACTTTCCTAGGTCAAAATTATGTTTAAGGCTTTATCTGGGTACACACACACACACACACACACACACACACACTTATTTAATATAAGCACACAGTATAATATACTAATAATAAACTAAATAGCTAAAATGCAGTATCTTCTTTGTGGTAAAGTATTAAAAATAAATTTTACTGGTGATTAAAATTCTATTTCTGCTTGGCATTTGCCATTGTATAATGATTCCTAGAATGTTTTCAGAATTTTTTAACACAGAGCATATAAGCAATCAGTACTATGAGTGTTTTCTGTTATATATCAGAAAAAACTATTTAAGGAATACCAGCCTTTTTTAAATGTTGTAAATCCAATTTGTTGTAAGTCCATAAAGTACCATATATTAGAAGACTACCATCATTTAAGAAAAAAAAAAAAAAAAAGCGGTTGCTAAGTTTAAGATGCCATCGATTGTAAAAGATATTAAACTATGATGAAAACATGTGTACATATTTTAAATATGAAATATGTTACTTATATATTGACTAAGTTATACCCCAAGTAATAAAATTTAGCTAGTATACAGTAGTTTTGGGTACTTGCTTTTTAAATAGTATTAACGATACAACAGAAGGAAACATATTCAATGTAATAGTAATAAATGGGATATTACTATTTAAGAAGCATTAACATGCCATAAAAATACATATGAGAATTGGGGCCAAATCTTCATTTTAACAAAAAAACATTTCTGCTCATTTTCTGTAGTCTTTCTTATATACAGTTTTAAAGACTCAAAGGCTCAAAGGCCAATCTCCTCTGCAACTGTAATCTATTGATTTCCATTAGCTAAAGTGATATTATTTATGGCAACAGTGCCTCTAACCACTGAAAAAGGTAGATAACCAGTATACTCCAAAAGAACTGTTACTTAAATACAGTTACAATTAAGGAAAGACTCAATTTTTTTTTTTTTTATGTAATCCTTTGGAAATGAAAGATATTTAATTCAGTGTCTGCTAAGGTTAGAGAGTCAGTCCGGTTAGACATCTCACTGGAGGACATTTATGCTAACGGGTAAAAAAACCTAAGTTTTAGAATTGTTTCTTAAGAGCACTGGGCATATTTATGGAATGCCCCCAAATTTCATAGGAATTAACAAATTTTTTAGGAAGTTTATATTCTAAACTATGTTTTAAAATGATTTATAATTTGTAAAAAAATGGGCCTAAAGCCGAAACCGGTTTGGCTTGGTGGCTAGAGCGTCAGCCTGCGGACAAAGGGGTTCCTGGTTCCGTTCTGGTTGGGGGGCACGTGCCTCGGTTGTGGGTGCGTCTCCAGTAGGGGGGTCGTGCAGGAGGCAGCTGATCGATGTTTCTTTCTCATCAATGTTTCTAACTCTCTATCCCTCTTCCTTCCTCTCTATAAAAAAAAAATCAATAAAATATATATATTTTTAAAATGAGCCTAAAAGTTAATCAAAAACTACTTTTCTAAGAATGTCTTAGCTATACTTAAGAGAAACTTGTGTTGCTGACATGTAAAGTTTGCTGGCCAATTCTTGGTCTTGTCCTTAAAGTGAAAAATGGGAACTTAAAAAAAAAAAAAGCTTATTCATTTAGTTTATTTTATTCTTTTAATATATTTTATTGATTTTTTTACAGAGAGGAAGGGAGAGGGATAGAGTTAGAAACATGGATGAGACAGAAACATGTATCAGCTTCCTCTTGCACACCTTCTACTGGGGATGTGCCTGCAACCAAGGTACATGCCCTTGACTGGAATCGAACCTGGGATCTTTCAGTCCACAGGCCAATGCTTTATCCACTTAGCCAAACTGGTTAGGGCTAAATAACTTAATCATTTTAGAAAATATAAAACATATAATTATGGAATAACATAGATATAGTGTTTTCAACCTCAGAGCATTGAGTGCAGTGGGTCTGCTTCAGCCATTTCCTCCTCATATCTTTAAGTATGCACAGAAGCTTAACCAAAAAACCCAACAGATCAAAGTCCAAGATCTATAAAACTTTGTTCAGCATTAAAGATATATTTTACCTTCACTACTGAAAAGATTGTTAATTAAATGCAATTTGTTGGGTGGACAAAATCTCTCACACATGGATTAATGGAGGAAAAGGAAATGATAAATGTGAGTTTTATGTGGAGAGTGTGAAATTCATGGTTTATAAAGTCCTTGCAGCTCCAACTAGATGAAGAATCAACCAAATTAAGGCAAAGAACTGGTGGGGAAAGAAAAGTTCTTGTTTTCCTCTAACGCAAGCTTGATAGGATCTATGGCAAGTTCTACTTGCCAGTCAGACTATGGAGCCAACAGGAGTTGGAAAGTACAATCTGAAGCTACACTGAGAAAATTCATCAACTTTGCAGTTCAGTCACACTAGCTCCCAAACAAAGGTCACACATGATTTTCTATTTTCTTGCTCATTTTTTTTTTTCAGGACTGAACCCGTTTGCCTTCAATTCTGGGTAAGGAACCTGAGGTGACAACACCACACAATGGTGAAGCTTATTGGCTACACTAACTATCCACTTCAAACAACCAAACCAAACCTAAACTCTTCTATGCAAGCAAATTTAAGGGAAAGTTATCATCTGACCCTTTCAAAAAGCAGTTTGATGAGCAGATGCAATTACTAATGAGGTTAAGGAGAAAAGTAGGCACTCTGCTTTTCTCTTTTGGGCCTGGCTGCCTTTGATTTATCCCTGGGGTATAACTATTTCAGGGTGTGGGTCACTCCCTTCCAATTCCAACATTGCTTATCCTAGTCTCAGAACACAGGGCTCACAGCAGACAAAACAATTTATTTTCATTAATGACCTATTAACTTCTGTTACTATTATTGGAAGTTATATTTCTCTCAAAGACTACTAAAATTGTCTTAGATTTTTAAATTTAAATGTTTTTAACGATGTAATCTATATATATAAAAGCCAAGTGAACAAAATGACCAAGTGACTGGAACGACTGGAATGACCTGTCACTATGATGCACATTGCAGCAGCCAACCAGCCCGATTGAGGCCCCAATTTGTTCCCTCAACTTCCCTCGGCCCCTCCCCCTCAGCTGGTTCGGCCTCTGATAGGCCCCCCCAACCCAGATAGGGGTTGGGCTGCCTGGCCAACCTCCCGTGGCTCCCCCCACCCCCAGCCGGCCCAGCCCCCATTCAGACCCCCCATCCCGATTGGGGGTGGGGCTGGCCAGCCAAACTCCATGGCTCCTCGCTGGCTGGCCTGCACCCTGATCCGTCCCCTCCCCAATCCCAATCAGGGACGGGACAGCTGGACCTCACCTGTGCACAAATTCATGCACCAGGCCTCTAGGAGGATATAAATATATATATATTTAACAGAGCATTTATTTTTTCTGGTTGTCTATAGTATTTAATCTGAAGTACCGGTATATAGATTTCTCATCATTGATCTGCTATACATTACTCCCCCTTTAATATAAGAATATGTATTTAACATATAATTTACAACAAAGCCAAGGCAGAATCTAATTTTAATTTTTTAGGTTTGACAGTATGAAGTTAAAATATATATTGCATTACATGAAATTTTTCCCAGCCAAAATATTCACAATAAGACAAAATAATATTAATTTGAATAGAATCACACCAGAATGGTACTTACAAACTTGTTAATAATTGATCTCTATGAATCTGTTTTATGATCAGCTTTCAAAATGTAATTTTTCATGGATTAAATGATAGAATATTTTTTTCAGGTGGTAGCAGATGATCAGATCAGGAAGGGCTTTGATGAATGAGCAGAATCAGCTACTTTAGCTACTAAGTTTAAACTGAATTATGACTCTTTTTATCACTAATCTCTTCATCTACTTGGGGTGATAATGTATTTTCCTTATTTACTACTAATGAATCATCTCATAGTAAATGAAAAACCTGTTTATAAATATTCATTTAAAGAGTCTGAAATAAATGAGCTAGTATCAAAGGGAAACAAATGAGCAATGAGGCCCTCACTGGTCTGGCTCAATGGATAGAGCACTGGCCTGCAGACTGAAGTTGTCATGGGTTCGATTCCAGTCAAGGTCAAGAGCACACACCTCGGTTGCAGACTCCATGCCTGTCCTGGTCCCTGCCCTGGTCGGAGTGCATGGGGGAGGCAGTCAATGGATGTGTCTTTCTCTCTCTGTCTCTCCCCCTCCCTTCCATTCTTCCTAGAAAAAAAAAAATGAGCAATAAGAGTTACATAAGTAAAGTACAGAATCCTTGGTGTTTAAGCATTTAAAAGAAGTGAATATTATCTTTATAATTTTATGAAAATTCATGTTTCATTTTAAATGTCCTTTTATCTAGTAACAATTGCTTTGACTGAAGCAAAAGCCAAAGTGCTAATCCATGTACTTCTGGCCTTTCAAATTTAATTGGGTGACAAATGATTGTATTATCTAATTCTAATTGCTCAAAAGGCATGTGATAGATCAGTGGCACAACCAGAGACATTTTCTTACTCTGACATTGTTTCATTTGCTTCAATCATCACTTTTTCTGAAAGAGAAGAAAAAACACCCTCAGTATTTTATCAATAGTGATGTTCCTAACAGAAATTCCTAACTGGCAAATATTTAGGCATTTTTTGAACGACAGACAATATAATAAAGGATTAATTGCTAAGTCTTTAAATCACACTCAACCATCCCAGTAAACTATCTTCTTAATATTTAAGACAAAATGGTATTTAAACATATTCTTTTTAAGTAATAAATCATTTACCCTTTGGATCAAACACCAGCAACTTGCCATTCTGTCTATATTTTGATGCCTAAAATAGAAGCAGAAATAAAAACTAGCATTATCATTATTACTTTCATTTGAGGTGTTTGAAATGATTTATTCATAGTCTTATATAACATTTTCTGTTATCTATGCTAAAAGGTAACTTTATCCTAAAGCAATTATTAAAAAAAACTATGTAAGTTGATGGTAAAATAGAACTAAAGTGTCCTTAAAAAGTTTGTGTACTCTTACCTTTACAGCATCTGTCTTATCTAGATAATTCCTGCAAAAACCAGAATATTTACTTCATAAGTCTTTGAACACTTGCATAAATTTAGAAACTAAATAAAATAGAATGCAGAACTCAGTTTTTGAGTAGAATATTAAGTATATTGTTTTTGTATTTGGTAGATTATTTCCATCCTAACTGAAAAACCTCATTTTCTGGATGATGAAACTAGATTAAAAAAAAAAAAAAGGTATATAGAAATTAATCCTTTGTCCTCTTTTATCTTAGGAATAATTTTGCATGTTAGAAAAGTAATAGGTCAAATAAGCCACTAACTGTTACTATTGGGTTTTATAAAACCTGGTCTCTAGCCCTAGCGGCTCAGTGAATAGAGCGGTGGCCTATGGACTGAAGGGTCCCAGGTTTGATTCCGGTCAAGGGTATGAACTTCAAGGGCACATATCTCAGCTGCAGGTTCCTCCTTGGCCCAGGCTTTGGTCAGAGCTTGTGTAGGAGGCAACCAATCAATGTGTTTCTCTCACATCGATGTTTCTCTCTGTCTTTCCCTCTCTCTAAAACTCAATGGAAAAATATCCTCAGGTGAGGATTAAAAATAAACCACCACACACACACACACACACCACACACACACACACACACACACACACACACACACACACACACACTGGGTCACCAGATCTAGATCCAAATACAATCAATAGCAGATTAAGAATTCACCTTTCTTACTGAGCTGACCCTAAAAATTATTAAATTCATCTTGGCTCATGTTTACACCAGCTTTTGTCTCCCCCACTTCAACAAAACAAGATGTGAGCTAACCTGCCTGCCAGATTTGAGTTCATCCATATTATGAAAAAATCTTTATAGAGTGTATATAAGCCAGAAGAAGATATTGCATTTCTAATAAAATATTATTTCAATAAAAACATTTAGAAATTGCCCTAACTGGTTTGGCTCAGTGGATAGAGTGTCGGCCTGCAGACTGAAGGGTCCCAGGTTCGATTCCAGTCAAGGGCATGTACCTTGGTTGCGGGCACATCCCCAGTAGGAGGTGTGCAGGAGGCAGCTGATAGATGTTTCTCTTTCATTAATGTTTCTAACTCTCTATCTCTCACCTTTCCTTTCTGTAAAAAAAAATCAATTTAAAATATATATATACACATTTAGAAATTAACCTTTGATTTTTCTCCAGACAAATAATCCTTTACCTTATAAATTCCCTTATGTTTATTAACACTTATAAGTTAAAATGTTTGTGAAGTTTTTCCTTTCCTACATTACCCTCCGTAGACTGATTTTCCTACAAGTTAGCCCTTTATGAACTTACATAAATTTCATTCTAATTGCATGGAGAAAAATCAGCTCATACAGTTTTTTATGTTTGAGAGAGGACACACTTAAACTTTTCATAGGTAACAATTCACTTGTCCCTAAATCCCAAGCCAGATTCTCAAATTGTTATTAGTAATACATACCTAGGGATTTCTGGAATACAAAATGTAGGGCCAAATCTGTGGGCAATAAAAGAAAAGCTTCATTATTTTGAATTAAGTTCTTCTCTTTTTAAAACTAGCTCCCTCTCACTGATCAGTAGTATGTAAACCTTCGCCTGGAGCTTTGTTTTCCGGGCAACCCTAACCAAGCCAGACATTATATGTATTAATTTGATTATCCCTCTGAGAAGCTCACAGAGAGCAAAGTACACCAGAAAAGCAAGGAATCTTTTGGGGGAAAACAGTTGTAGAAGACTAAATTCTAGGATAAATGAAAGATTTGCCTCCTAATTCTCTAGGGTAGTAGACACAGCTCAGAATGTGAAACAATGCAATGAACCAATAAGGCCTTAACAAAAGAAATCTGGGATGTCCGCTCTTGAGAAATACTTCCACTCCACAGATTTCCACAACCCTGTGTTGTCATAGTCTGTACGGTAGGACTATATTTAGAGTCCTCTCCTTTCTAGCTCTAGGATCTTTATGGATTGTTACAGTCCAACCTTTTACCTGGATGAAGACATCAGTGCATATAGTTCTTCTCCCATGTTCACCTGGTAACAGAAAAATCTAGGTAGGGTGGGCAGATCCTACTCTTGATGGAAATGCAGGCTCTCCTAGGTCTGACTTTATCATTACCTAGGAAGTGTCCATTTACTCTCCTTTCATAAAACTGAATTCCTAGGGGCACAGAGTAATACTCAAGAGTTGGGGCTCTTGCGTGATAGAAACTGGATTCACATCTCAGTTCTGCCATGTGCCAGGTAAGCTTGAGAAAGTTACTTCACTTCTCCAGGCCTCAATTCTTCCATCTGTAAAATGGGGATTACAATGGTGCCAACCTCACTGGATCATTATAAGGATTGTATAGGATGATCTGGGGAAAGTGTGTAGCACAGTGCAGGGCACACTGGAGGGACGCTGAAGAAACAACTCTTGCTGTCTTCGAGACAAGCAGATTAACTCTGAAGACTTTTAATTAATTTAAAAATCACAATAGCCCCAAAGTAATGATATCTGTTTAGAAAGATCACTGACTCCAGGAAAATAGCAGAGTAAAAACACAGGTAAAGGTAAAGCAGCCATGACAGGCTGAGCAGAATGAGGTGCAGCCATTGTGCAGATAATATATATTTTTCAACTAACTATCAATATGCAAAATATCTCTGAAAGGAAATGCTTTCAGAAAAGAAATGATAATATTGGCTGACTCTGGGGATGGCTGCAGGTCTGGGGTGGGAATTTTTTACTTTAGGTGCATTAGTACTTCTTGAACCTGGGAAAAAAATGTATTATCTATTTAAAAATACAACTTAAAATTTGCAATACCATTTGCATCTCTATGTTTATCCCTCTCTTACAGGCATGTGAACCAGGTGCTACTTCAATTCTCTACCCAGTGCTACCTGTTCAAACAGGGGTCATGGTGTCCAGAAAGAACAGTATACAGGTGCACACCTTGTATATTTGTTACTATTGGTTATGGTTAATGTTAACATCACAAGGTTCATTTAGTAAGCCATTTGTGTTTCTATCAAGTGCACCCTCTGGCTTTCGGAATGTGGGCAGACTGTCCTGATGTCTTTCAACAGTCCCAGTAGTAATGGGAACAACAGTGATGACAGGTCCCAATTTTCATGTTACAGTCAATGTCTATTTGAGACAAACATTTGATGAGCAGCTACTAAATGTCATATATATCTGTGATAAGCCCTGGGGTTACAAAAGATATCCAAGAGGAGTCAGCAAGTAGTGGAGGCAGATAAAGAAGAGATAAAGGAAGAGAAAGTCTAATAATCAAGCTGTCTGTGAGCAACTTTCCAATAACAGAATCAAGCTTGAGGCCTGTTCTCTGGATTTGCTATAATTTGCTATACCTTCAGGTATAATTTCTATAAGTATCCCTAGAATATAGTATTGTCTACTGATAGCCCCTTCCTCCTTATGTTAAAAGATCCAGCCCATCTGAACATCAGAGTAGTACTGTCCTAAGACACAGCAATCATAGTAATTGATAAGCTAACAGTGACAGGACCAAGGGGTGAGCCTGTGATCCAAGCTAAGCTCATCACAACTTATCTCTGAGACAAAGAAGAATATGAATCTAGAGCTCCCAGTAGGCATGGCTCTAGCCTTCAGGAAAAAAAAAGGGGGAAGGGGGTTTGAGAGTGAGCAGAATGTACAAAAGATAACCAGGGACGAGATGAGGAGAGAGGGAGAGAGTGAAGCAGAATATACAAAAGATAACGAGGGAGGAGATGAGGGGTAGGGAGAGGGGGAGGACAGTGGGAGGGAATGAGAATGAATGATGTTTGAGTCTTTGCTTCCAGTTCAACCTGTCTTTACCACAATTAATTTCTCTTCTTTTAAAAAAATATATTTTATTGATTTTTTACAGAGAAGAAGGGAGAGGGAGTTAGAGACATCGATGAAAGAGAAACATCGATCAGCTGCTTCCTGCACACCATCTACTGGAGATGTGCTCGTAACCAAGGTACAAGCCCTTGACTGGAATCAAACTTGGGACCCTTCAGTCCGCAGGCCGATGCTCCATCCGCTGGGCCAAACAGGCTAGGGCTTAATTTCTCTTTTTGACTAAATAAGCTGGAGGTGATTTTTAACATTTGAAGCCAAAAGAGACCTTGACAAACATGGCTCCTAATTCTTGAAACAAAAGTAGACTAACACACCTGATACCATGTAATAAGAGCTACATATTAGAATTAAGATAACCTGAGGGAACACAAAGTAAGAAGTGATGGATTCTACCTGTTATGGGAAGAAAGACTGAGTCAGGTTTCACCAATACAGCTGGCAGTTATTTAACCAAATCAAGACCAAGCAGCCAACAAAAAGGTAAGAGAAATCTAGCACTGTGTTAGAGAATATCAATAGATTAAATAAAAAATGTACGTGGAAGCACATTTTAAAAGTCATTAATTACCATGTGCTAAGAATTTTGGGCTTTAATCGGCAGGCAGTGGAAAGTAGGCCAAGCCTTTGAAATTCTGTTGAGGGTAAACCTGAGACAGAATGGAAGGGCTCATTTCTAAAAGAAAGAGCTTAGTTCTTATCTTAGCTATATTAGAGTCTAATCAGTGGTTGGCAAACTCATTAGTCATTAGAGCCAAATATCAACAGTACAATGACTGAATTTCTTCATGGCCCATGCGAAAACTGACTTTTGCGCATGGGCCATGAAGTTTCAATAGCACTGTACGTGTGCACACATCGTGGTATTTTGTGGAAGAGCCACACTCAAGGGGCCAAAGAGCCACATGTGGCTCGAGAGCCACAGTTTGCCGACCACTGCTCTAGACTCTTGTTTGCAAGTTGCAGAAACCCTGCTCTAGTTAGTTTATGAGACAGAGGAAGAGGAAGAAGAAAAGATCACAGGCTCACCCCTTGGTCCTATCACTGTTAGCTTATGAATTACTATGATTGCGGTGTCTTAGGACAGTACTACTCTTATGTTCAGATGGGCTGGATCTTTTTTTTTATATATATATATTTTATTGATTTTTTACAGAGAGGAGAAGAGAGGGATAGAGAGCTAGAAACGTCGATGAGAGAGAAACATCGTCCAGCTGCCTCTTGCACACCCCCTACTCGGGATGTGCCCGCAACCAAGGTACATGCCCTTGACCGGAATCGAACCCGGGACCCGCAGACCGAGGCTCTACCACTGAGCCAAACCGGTTTCGGCTGGGCTGGATCTTTTAACCACATAAGAAGGCAAGGGCTATCAGTAGACAATATCGTATCCTAAGTATACTTAAAGAAATTATACCTGAAGGGGAGGGTAGAGGGGAGAAAAAGGCATTGGCTCATGGAATCCAAGAATTGAATACCCAAGCTATGTGCAAGTCAGGACACAATGAATACAACTGTGTTCAAGGCAGGTAGGCTGGCATTTTCCCTTGTTCATTTCAGCTTCTCCCTGCATGTGGGTCCTCTCTCTCTCTCTCCAGATGTTCTGCACGTGGAACAGATCAGGGCTCCCAGAAATCTCAAGTTATATATGATGTAGTTCCAGCTTTTAAGGAAAAGTTGACTGTCAACAATAACCAACCCGTCAAGGTCCCAATTATTTAGATAGGTTTTTGTAGGTTTGTTTGTTGCTATAAAGAACAGATTATCTCAGGCAACCTTTAAAGAAAAACCTCTACATGTCACATAACCTGGTGCTCAATAAATATTTGTTGGAGGAATGGAATGGGAAGAAAGGAAACAATAAAGAAAAGGATGTATTAGACTAGAGATTCACAGTCCAATATGGTAGCCACTAGTGGCTACTGAGCACTTAAAATGTGTTCAATTTGAGATATGGACACTGGACCAAAAAAGCATGTAAAACATCTCCATTTCCTCTAAGTAAGTATGCACTAATCAGCAGCTATTAAGGCCAAATAGGTTTTATTTGGATTCTACAGGTTTAAAAAAAAAAACAAAAAAAAACAACTTTTATAAAATGAGTCACCAACATTTAAAATTCAGATTTCAGGTTAAAATAAATTCTTATTTTAGGTTTTTCTTATAATATTGAAAGACATTTTCTCTTCCTCCCATTTGTGCAATTATTTTATTCTTTGTGCTATTTGTTTTTTATAACCTATCTTGTATTCTACAAGGCAAAGAATGAGTTACTAAATAGCTACATGTTCAGGACTTGCAATGTGGTGAGGAGACCAGAGCTGATTAAGCACCAAACTTCGTCCCAGAAGAACTTAATGAGGAAACATAAAAGGATGTGGGAGCATTATTTCATTGCCTAGCTCAATTGTGTCAACGATCATCTGTCACTCACATTCATATTTAAAAGTGACTACATATAAATTTTATATATTTCATTTACAACAGAATATAGTGCCCAGCCTCTGGAGTCAGATTGCCTGTGTTCAAATCCCAGCAAATTGTGTGACGTGGAGCAAGTTCCTTAATCGCTCTATAGTTCACTTTCCTCAACTGTAAAATGAGTATAAAAATACTACCTATATCATAGAATTATGAGATTTAATATAAATAATAAACATTAGTGGCATCTGTAATTATAATTGCTGCAACTCCTTCTCCTCACGTTACTATTATTATTATTACCCACAGTCTGTCAGGGACAGTCCTAAAGGTGAACTCTGATTTAGGGAAAACAGATCTAAGTGAACAATTGAGACTGGATGGGGCAAAAGATGGGAAAAACACTGATAATTTAGCTCCAAGGTGGAAAGTAGGAAACTCTGAATTCAGTGGGAATTGCTACAAAGGTGTTGGTAGCAAGGTGTCCGGTAAACTCTTAACACTTAAAGAGTAGTGTTGTTGTTTTCCTGAGATTAAAAAACACAAAACTTCAATTAGCAGAAAATAAAAATAATAAGGTGGATTTGGGGAACATTGTATTTAGTTTTTCAGGAGAATGAAACAAATATAAATTTTTTTTCAGATTTATTAAAAAAAACACAATAACTTTTGGGATAAGAACAGCTTCATCCATGTGTTAATTTATGCCATGTTTCAATTTAAATGCTACCAGGGTGCAGGGTAGAACAGTTTAAGACAGTAATCAAAAAGCTTCACTATGACTAGCCCTCTCAGGTCAATTTCGTCATCTCAAGGCTGAAGACTGAACCTTACCAGTGATCCCTGTCCAAGCCTCTCATGTTATGAAAGATGAAAAGAAAGCCCTCGGAGGCTAAATAATTTGTCCAAATTCGACCGAAAGTTTTTATGGCTGAGCAAGTTATGTCTAAAGAGTAATGACGTCTTAACTACAGCAGTGAGTGCTTGCTCCTATTGGCCATTAAGCAGTTTCCAAAAACAAACAAACAAACAAAATAAATTCATTTTGCCTCTCAGCATAACCATTATTGCTTGTCTCATTTTCAGTTCTTATAAGCATATTTCTAGTATCACATGAGTTCACTCATCTAGGGGAAATGATGAACAACACAGACTGATGAACAAGAATAGCATCGATCAGACTGTCGGGCCTCAGAGGGAAGGTAGGGGAGGGTGGGGATAAGGGAGAGAGATCAACCAAAGGGCTTGTGTGCACGCATATGAGCTTAACCGGTGGTCATGGACAACAGGGGGGTGAGGGCATGCGTGGAGAGGAGTTTGGGATGGGAATAGGGCGCGGGGGGGATGAAGACAAATTTGTGATACCTTAATCAAGTGCTTCCCAAACTTCTCTCATGATGAGAATCACCTGGTGGAGTTGTCAAACTATAGATTCCTGAATCCCAACTAAAAAGTACTAAACTAGAATTTTGGGAACATATAGGTAAAATTGTATATTTAACTAGTGCTCCCAAAATTTCTAGTTTAGCACTTCTTAGTTGGGATTCAAGAAACTGTATTTTAACAACTTTCACCAGGTGATTCTCATCATGAGAGAAGTTTGGGAAACTGCAAAATCAATGAAGTAATTAAAGTAAATAAATAAAAATAAATTTTAGTAGCGGACCAAGGGAGTAGCGGAAGCCTTGAGACGACCTATAGCAATTTCCACGGGGGCGGGCAGGGAGAAGGGAGTCGGCACGCGGGAATCCGCAGGCCAAGCTGGCGGCGGGTGCAGCCGTCCCACAGCCCGCGGTCACTCACTCCCGCGGACGCTAATGGCCGGCCTCCGGCCCGCTGCAGCCGGAGGAGGGGCCCAGGGCCTCCGGGCCCGGAGCGAGGCGCGCCTCCAGCCGAGCGACCGGGTCCTACCTTCTCGCGTGCCGGCCGGCAGCCGAGGGGCCGCGGAGCCCAACCCTGGAGGGTGCACCAGAGTTTGCGGAGCCGGGCGCCGGGCCTGGAGGGTCCGAGGTGAGAGAGGAGTCCGGCTGCTCGCCAGAGCCGGGAGAGGGAGACCCGCAGCGGCCGCGGCGCCTCTTACCCGCTTGGGGCCCTCTCAAGCGGATCATCGGAAAGGCAGTCGGCGAAGGCCCGCCCCGCTGGAGGTTCGCTCGGGTTTCGGAGCAGCGAGCTGTGGACGCCTCGTCGCCATGGAGACGACGCCACTTGCGGCCGAAGTCCCGGGAGCCGCCGCGGAAGGCGGCGGAAGGGGCGGGGCTTGCACGTGGAGAACTCGGGGAGCTGAGAAGGGGCGTGGCGGGGATGGGCCGCGCCTGGGGAGCAGCAGCTGGCGCGAGACGGAGCGGGCGAGACGGGGCGGGCCCAGGCTCCGCCTACGAAGTGGGACGGAGGGGGCGGGGCGTGCCTGGGGCCGGGCTGAGGGGGCGAGGCGTGCCTGGAGCCGGGCTGAGGGGGCGGGGCGTGCCGGGGGCTGGGCTGAGGGGGCGGGGCGTGCCTGGGGCCCGGCTGAGGGGGCGGGGCGTGCCTGGAGCTGGGCTGAGGGGGCGGGGCGTGCCGGGGGCCGGGCTGAGGGGGCGGGGCGTGCCTGGGGCCCGGCTGAGGGGGCGGGGCGTGCCTGGGGCCCGGCTGAGGGGGCGGGGCGTGCCTGGAGCTGGGCTGAGGGGGCGGGGCGTGCCTGGGGCCGGGATGAGGGGGCGGGGCGTGCCTGGAGCCGGGTTGAGGGGGCGGGGCGTGCCTGGGGCCGGGCTGAGGGGGCGGGGCGTGCCTGGGGCCGGGCTGAGGGGGCGGGGCCAGGCGAGCCTGGGCGGAAGCTGCGGGGCGGGGCAAGGGTGGGGCGGGGGCGGAGTACGTTCTGTAAGTCACGGCAGGTTCAGGGCGCCAAAACCAGGCCCAAGAGAGCCCCTTGGTTCTCGGGGTCTCGCCGCGCAGTGGATTCGGTGCGCAGATCCTCGGACGCACGTCCGCACGCTCCCCGGTTACTTGGAGAAGGGCAGAAGGGAGGGAGAAGGAGATATCCTTGTCCATACCTGACCCTGTTCTCGGTGGGAAGAGGGGGAAGGGCATGGTGGTCTCGGCGGAGTTTAAACTTGTGGAGGGAAAGGAGGCTCAGCCTTGCACCGAGGGAGAGAGGCTTCTCTCTGAATGCGAATGAACAAATGTCGCCTGCAGGTCTTGGTCCCTCAAACCTGAGGTCGCTCCAGGAAAATGATGGGTTTCCTAAGGGATCTCTGGGCGCCAGTCTCCCCACAAGTCAGATTTGAGTGACTAGAACCGAGGACCCGCCTCTGCCACTAACCCCTGCCGAGTCCCAAGTGAAATCGACACTGGCCAATGGGAGGTTTTACTGATTAGCTGACTGTTTTGGTCACAGAAGCGGGTGGGGAAGAACATCATTAAACAATTCTAATTGTTCTCCAAGCTTGGCTTCTAGGACGGAATTGGTTGGTTTTCTCCACTTAAGATGCATAAATCACGAGGATCGATTTGTTGCTAGGCAACGTGTTTTGAAGGAAGCCTGTTGGAATCAAAATCTTGATTTGAATTTCACTGAGAAGCTCTGATATGAGGTTTAGTTGCTATTTAACCTTTGGACTGGGTGCCCTCTGGGAATATGTACCTTGGTAGATGGTTGTGAGCTTCAAATGACACAAAATATAGTATGTGGCAATTTTAAATTAGTTTATTATTACTATTATTAAAAATAGAACCAGCTGAACCATTTCAGGAACCAAAAGTATGTAAAGTGTCCGTTTTTTAAATTTTAAATCATTTCTCCGTATTCATTCCAAATTTCCTTGGAACCCTGGATGGAAGGAAGGAGGCAGAGGGATAAAGCCAGAATGGAAGTTTTTTTTTTTTTTTTTAAAGAACTCAATGAAGTCATTGATAAAAACATCCCTTGTTTGATAAGGACATAGCAAGCCACTACCTCTGTTGTAGAAACACCCGTGCATAGCCGATGTCTGAAGTTTTTGTTCAAATAGGCAAAGGAAAAATCATTATATTTCTTGGTGAATATCTTTGAAAAGTCAGTTTTGATGAATTTGCTTTGTATTGATAATGAGTGATGTCTGACTGGCTATTCCCATTGTTCTATTCCAAGGAAAGTAAGAAAACCTACTCTAGCTGATTAAGCTGCCTCCTCCTATACCCCCTCTTCCAACAGAAGATCAAGATCATTTGTAGAATACAGTGTCTTCAGTGTTTATTGTTCCTGAAAGAAGGGGCAAAATGGTTTAAAGACCTTTGAGCATAAAAATATTTTCTCCACGTGGAGGGTGATTTTTCTAGCTTCTACCTTGGGTTTCAGGATCTTCAAGTGCAAAGTGGTGATAATATACACTATCTGCCCCAACAGCTCAAAACATGAGAGAAGATAATAACACAGAGTATGGCACATGACAACCGATCAATAGCTCAGCTATTATTACTACTATTGTATATGAAGCTGCCAGGCCCAGTGCCTATACATAATTGTTATTTTATTTCTCACTGATGAAAAAACATATTTTATCTTTGTATAATTTCAGAAATAATTCACCTATCTCTGTAACTTGTATACAAAAGTTATTGTGTAATACTCAAAAGTAGAGCACAATCTAGCTCTGTTTCATGATTCAGACCACTGAATAAATTACCAGAAGTATATATCTAGTGAGCATTTGTTTTAACAAAATAATAGGGAAAAGCCAGACACTCTTATACAAATGTTGAATCACCCTACAGCAAATACCTTTTATTAAACTCCATGGATATATATATATATATATATATATATATATATATATATATGAAATTTAAATTAAATATACATATTTTTTAATTTAAAAATTTTATTGATTCCAGAGAGGAAAGGAGAGGGAGAGACAGAAATATTAAAATGAGAGACTCATTGATCGGCTGCTTCCTACAACCCCCCAACTGGGGATCAAGCCCACAGCCCAGGCATGTGCCCTTTACTGGAATTGAACCTGTGACTCTTCACTCCACAGGTTGAAGCTCTATCCACTGAGCTCAAATGGGTAGGGCTCCATGGGTTTTAATAGATAAATTTTTATTACAGATTTGAATGTTAACAGAGCATTATAAAAATGTTTAAATAATATTTAGTGCTCTGATTATAAAAACAAAACATACTCATAACAATTTGCAACACATAGAAAAACGCAAAGAAAAAGTAAAAACCATTTCAATCAATAATTTAACCCTTTTTGTGTCCATATATATTTATAAGATTTGTATTAGTGCACACATTGTAGTCATCCCTTTTTGCTTAACATTTTCTCTAATACCTTAACATTTTCTAATGTCTTTTAAAAAGTATTGAAAACATTTTAATGGTCATACATAATATGTATAAACCACAATTTACCCATAATTATTCAACTAGTCACCCATTTGGAAAGTTCCAACTTTTCTCCTGTAATTCATTCTTCTAAAAATACTTATTGAGATTTTTCTGGATGCTAGGTGCTATGCTAGGCATACGACTTAAGTGGTGAACAATAACTGTAAATATAAGGTTTTGATGAACACCCTTGTAAATAAATTTTTGATGGCATCTTTTATTCTTAGATTGAATTCTTAGAACTATGGAAACAACTTCAAAAAGCATTTTTTTTTTCCTGGTTCAAAGACAAACTTAAATAAAATCCTGAACTGTAAAATATTAGCTTTTTGGAAAATTGCCAACAGACTTAATATTTATTTTGTGCAAAGTGTGAACTTACCCAGAAGATGCTTTCTCGTTAGTGACTGTGAAACATCAAGGGTGGTTGAAGTGTATTGACTTTGGCTTTTATCGCTAATTCTTTCCAGGATTTGCAGGTTTTCTCAATAGTGTGAGATTGTTTGAAGTCTATGCAAATTGCCCTACTTCCTCCCCTCACAGTTAAAATGTTAACTATTTTATTTCTAGCTTTCCTCTTGTAAACATATGGCTTTTCTAGATTTCTTTCGTTTACCTTCCTGTGTGAAACATTTTGTATTTTCACACTTTTTAACTTTTAAACCCAAGTTGTAATACGCACATTCCTATGGTACTGACATACCCTGTAGTTAATTTTGGTCAAGAAACAACATGTAAATTAGCCAATGTATTTGGGGGATTTCATAATAAAGGTTATTTATTAAAATAACCATCTCAATACACACACACACACCACAACCACCACCACTACCACCAATGTTTGACAATAAAATGTTTAAATACAGGCTTGAGCCATATCAAATAGTCATTTGTGGATTAAAAAAATAGTCAAATAACTTCATGTGATTTTATCTATATATATCAACTAGTTTATGATTTTTCTCAACTTTCTCCAAATATTGAACTTCCTGATTATTATAATAAGGACTTCCTTTATTATTACACAGATTGGGTTTGCTTTGACTTTTATAAATTCTGGAATCTAGTCAGGAGAGTGCCATAAAATGTTTATTTATTATTACAGAAACAGTAGAGGGAGCCTGGAGCCAAAACATTGTTTTTTTAGGCTTCCCATAAACGATGATTGTCTTCCAAGTCTTGAGATGTGGTTGAATTTAAATACTAGCATATATGTGATATAGCAATCTCCTCCCCTGCTCCCTAAATGACCACTTCAATTGGAAAGGGAAGGTTGGCTGCCAGTTCAAGCTAGACTTCATCAGGGTTCATGCTGGAATCAGCCTGCTTCCCATTGTCCTCTGGGTGATGCTGGAGACAGCACACTGCCACAATGACATATTTGTGCTCCACAATTTCCCCCTTTCCAACCCATAATGTAGACCATCCATTTCCATGGGCATTACATCATGATTATTAATTTCATCAGAACTTCAAAAATCTTACTAAAGTGACTATAGTTCTGTTGGCTGCTTCCTCCAGACACGTAAGGAGACACTTTGATCTTATCTTGAAAGCACATCCTTCTGGGAAGGTAATAAATTGCCAATCCTTTCACTGAGCGGCAAATTTTGTTTCCCTTAATTAAAGATGATGTGTCTTGATGACCTCTCCTCAACCATCTTCATCCTCAGTATCCTGGGTTTTTGTTAACTTCTCCGGTCCTGGTGTTATAAAGAGTCCGCAAGGTAATTGGTGGTCACCATTATTCTTCACTGTCTA